GAGTCACCACGCCCGGCCTAAACCCACTATCTTAAAGCTAAAATCACTATCACACTGTCTCACTTTTTCCTCTTTGCAGCCAGTGAACATTACTGGGTAATACTTTTCCTAAGTCTTTATAAAGCATTTAACTTAAAGACAGGTACACAGGTTAATTAAAAACATAAGTAGGTACCATGGAAGACCACAAAAAGAATAAAAAAGGAGATACTTACACAACAGGAAAAACCTTGGGAAACACAACACTGGCCTCCGCTAAGTATTCATAAAGAATTCGTTGATCAAACTCATCTGTGGTATATTTTACCAGTGTAGCCTGCCAAGATGCAAAAAAGTAAACAAACATGTTTACTTTGTGGCTGAATTGTTATCTGTTTTGGGAGAAGCAGAAGACTGTCTTCCATTTATGTTTTTAATATTTAAGGGCCTCCTGAGAGTAGATTGGAATAAAAACTTGGAGAAAAAAACCCTCAAAAAGGGGAAATCCTTACTAGAACAGTAAGAAGCAGCGCTTGGATCTTCGGATCAGTAAGTACTTCTTCATCCAAGAGAACATTTGATTCAGAAACTGAAACTTTACGTAAGTGTGGGTGCTGTTGTGATGAGGAAATCCTCTGAGTTTCTGCAGTAAAAAATGGAATTAACATGATCAGCTTTGTTAATCAAACACCTGGATAACCACTTCATCTAACATATTTCAATGTTACTTCTAAAATTCAATAGTTTTTTAGTAGACACTTAAAATATCAACATAAACATCATATAGAATTACTATTTACCTACATAAAAGTTTTGGCTAGCTATTTACAATGCTGTGTATCATATACATGATACTTTTTATACAAGTTTCAGGATAACTGTCAATTTAAGGACTGTAGCATCTTTCAAAAGAGAGCAAATGTTTCTATATTTCATCCTGATGATTCTAAGAAATGGTTGGGAAGTAAATATGTCTTTAATGTACTCTCCCACCTTACTTTCTATGATCTAGATCAATTATTAACTTTGTTTCTCACCCATTTCATAATCAGTTTCTGCTACTCTCCTCATTTTGGGGGGTGTTGTGATCCCTGATTCCATTTCTTGCCTTTTAGGAGCCTTTGTGTCTGATATCAAGTGATCAAAACTTTTCCTTGTTCCTATAAACGAAAGTTACAGAATATGGAAGTTCATTAACCACAGTGTCTATGAATAAGAATATACTAAAAAGAAAATGTTTGGACATAAAGTGTTTAAGCTTTCACTTAAGGACCCAAAGAAAGCTCGAACACATCCCTGGAGCAGCATTTCTCTCCTTTATTCTCCATCTTCTCAAAGGGTTTTGTTTCCACAGCTTTCTGTTTCAGGATAGGATGTACCTTACCAGTCCAAATTAAGTTGAGATTAGGTTCACTACATTGAAGGTAAACCAAACTCTACCAACAAATACAATTATGGATAATAAATACAAAGGTATGTACTGTTCAATAGCAAAGATCAACTATGTCTGAATAGCCTTTTCAATTTAAGAAATTCTGCTGGTGCTAAGAATTAGCCATTAACATATGAGGAATTTCCAAACTTATGCAAAAACCAGTTTGATTGTATTAATATTAGGTTATTAAGTATGGAATTATTAAGTATGTCTGATTTCCTTAAGTACTAAATTTGACAGTTGATATCTCTGACACTTCATTTTGAGACTTATTTTATTTTTATTGTGAAGGTACATTCTCAGTCTTTCAAATGCACGTTCTGGCTTGTGATTATCTTTCAAATTTTTTTTAGAGCAATTTTTGTGAAACCATGGATAAGTCAAAAATTTGCGTTATTTTTGAATATGAGTTCCATCATGGAACAAATGCAGCATAGACAGTTTGAAATATCAACAAAGTGTTTGGGAAGAATGTGGCTAATGAACACACAGTACGTTGATGGTTTGAGAAGTTCTGTTCTGGTGATTTTAATCTTGAAAATGAGCCATGTGGGCGACCTGAGACCAAGGTGGATAATGATGAGCTGAAAGCTGTAGTGGAAGTGAATCCATCTCAACCTATGCATGAATTAGCAGCAAGGTTTTACGTTACTATTCCAACAATATTAGGCCATCTGAAACAAATCAGCAAGGTAAAGAAGCTGGATAAGATGGGTTCCACATGAATTAAACGAGCATCAGAAGAGAAATTGTCTTGAAGCTTGCCCTTCTTTGTTGTCACGACACAAAGGTGAACCATTTCTACATTGTATTGTTATATGTGATGAAAAATGGATGCTTTTTGACAATCACAAGCATCTGGCACAAGGTTGAGTAAAGATGAAGTGCCAAAACACAGTCCAAAACTGACCATTTATCAAAAAAAGCTAATGGTGTCTGGTGGTCCAGCTCTGACATTATCCACTACAGTTTCATGAAACCTGGTCAATCGATTACGGCAGATGTCTACTGCAACCAATTGGACGAAATGATGAGGCTGCTTGTGATTAAGCTGCCGAGACTGGTCAACAGAGACAGGCCAATCCTATTGCAAGAAAACACTCAACCACATGTTGCACAAACAATGCTGCTCAAACTATAGAAGCTGAACTTGGAAACTCTTTGTCATCCACCATATTCACCAGACCTTGCATCAACTGACTTCAACTTCTTCCAGGATATGGACCACTTCTTGCAAGGAAAAACATTTAATTCTCGACAAGCTGTGGAAAACACCTTTTGTGATTTCACTGCCAGTCATTCTCCAGGCCTCTTCGCTGCTGGCATAAGCAAGCTACAGTTAAGATGGCAAAACTGTGTCGATAGTTTAGGTGCATACTTTGATTAATTGTACTGTTTCTTGTTTGACATATAATAAACTACACTTTTGATTTGAAGTTGGACATTTCATATTTAATGACCTAATAATTTTTCAAGTTTTGAAAAACAGATGTGCATGCCTGCAAGTACTAAAGAACAGATACACTGGGAGATGCTTCAAAAATAACAAGTAGCATTATCTCCCACTTGGTTTTGCATTTCCCTAATCATGTATTACACTAATATTAACTGCCTTTCTACTATTCAAAGTAAAAGTACTGAAAGCAGATTATTTGGAACGCATATATTTCTGTTCTTTATATTCAAAGAACTTCCTTAATCTTTCTGGTGCAGCTCTAAGAAAAAAAATCTGGAATATTTTTGACAGTGTTATTTTTTTAAAGTCAGAATTGAAGCCAATTTGATAAAATCTGACAATCGAACACTTGAGAAATACAATGTTCTATTAACCTCAAGTACTAATAAACACTAATAAATATTCATAATAGTCATAAATATCAAGGCCAAGTAATTACAGCCCAAAAGGATTCTAGTCCAGCTTCCTCATTTCACACACATGCAAACTGAGGAAGCCATATTAGGCGATGAGCCTAATGTTGCATGGTTAGAGATCCAGTTAATGATCAGTTTGAAAACTCAAGTTTTCTAGAACCAATCAGTGCTTTCCCTACTGTATGAGATTAGGATGCTACTCTCTACCTTTAGTTTTCCTACCTTTCTCACTTCTTTTTTTACTTTACTTTCTGCATTCTTCCTGGGAGATCTCATTCTGCTCCCATAGCTTCAACTATCTATGAGTTAATCAACTCTAAATGCTTACTCATTTACTTCTCTCTTCCTGAATTCCACATACATCTTTTCTCTCCACATACATCTATATTCCTAGATGTCCTGAAAATACCTCATATATAATATGAACCAACCTAAATTTATCATGTAACGTAAACATACTAGTCCTGATCTCTATGAATGGAATCACTATCCAGCCAGGTTTTTTTTTTTTATTTTTTTTTTATTTCAGCATATTATGGGGGTACAGATGTTTAGGTTACGTATGTTGCCCTTGCCCCCCCCCCAAGTCCGAGTTTCAAATATGTGCATCCTTCGGGTGGTGCGCATTGCACTCTTTGTGTATGCATATACTCGTCCCCTCCTCCCTCCTCCCCCCTGCTCAACATCCAATAGAGGTTATTCTTATATGTGCACTTATGTGTTGATCAGTTAATACCAATTTGATGGTGAGCACATGTGGTGCTTGTCTGTCCATTCTTGGGATACCTCACTTAGTAGAATGTGTTCCAGCTCTATCCAGGAGTATATAAGAAGTGCTATATCACCATTGTTTCTTAAAGCTGAATAGTACTCCATGGTATACATACATCACATTTTATTAATCCACTCATGTACTGATGGACACTTGGGTTGTTTCCACATCTTTCTAATTGTGAATTGTGCTGCTATAAAGATTCAGGTGCAGGTGTCTTTCTTATACAGTATCATTTGCTCTTTTGGGTAGATGCCCAGTAATGGGATTGCTGGATTGAATGGTACTTCTACTTGTATCTCTTTAAGGTATCTCCATATTGCTTTCCACAGAGGTTGCACTAGTTTGCAATCCCATCAACAGTGCATGAGTGTTCCCATCTCTCCGCATCCATGCCAACATTTATTGTTTTGGGACTTTTTGATAAAGGCCAGTCTCACTGGAGATAAGTGATAACTCATTGTGATTTTAATTTGCATTTCCCTAATGATTAGAGATGTTGAGCATTTTTTCATGTTTTTTGGCCATTATTCTGTCTTCTTTTGAAAAGTTTCTGTTCATGTCCTTTCCCCACTTTTGGATAGGGTCGTTTGATTTTTTCTTGTTGATTTTCCTGAGTTCTAAGTAGATTCTGGTTATCGGCCCTTTATTGGATTTGTAGCATGCAAAAATTTTCTCCCATTCTGTAGGTTGTCTGTTTGCTCTTGTGACAGTTTCTTTGGCTGTGCAGAAGCTTTTTAATTTGATCAGGTCCCATTTATTTATTTTGGTTGTTCCAGCCAGGTTTTGAAACTAGAAACTTCTGACATCCTTCACAGTGTTCTCCCTCCCCACCTGCCCCAATCAATCAGCCAGGCAGTAAGTCTTGTCAGAAATCCATCTATCTTCCCAAACCTGATTCTCTCTCTCTCTTTTTCTGGAGACAGAGTATTGCTCTGTTGCCCAGGCTAGAGTGCAGTGGCATCATCATAGCTCACTGCAACCTCAAACTCCTGGGCTCGAGTGATTCTCCTGTCTCAGCCTCCTAAGTAGCTGGTATTACAGGTGTACACCACCACGCTTGGCTAATTTTTAAAATTTTCTGTAGAGACAGGGTCTTGATATTGCCCAGGCTGATCTCAAACTCCTGGCCTCAAGCAATCCTCCAACCTCAGCCTCCCAAAGTACTAGGATTATAGGTGTGAGCTCTTTTTTTTAAAAAAGAGATGGGGTTTCACTATGTTGCTCAGGCTGGTCTCAAATTCCTAGGCTCAAGCCATCATCCTGTCTCAGCCTCCTGAGTAGCTGGGACTACAGGTGTATACCAGTGCACCTGGCTCCAAACTTGATTCTTCTCCATTCTCCCATTGCTCCTGCCTTAGTGTAGGTCTAAGTTTGATTGGATTGCTGTATTAATTCTCTTAAATGGTCCCTTTGCTAAAAATCTCTTCCTATTTATCCACATGGCTGCCAGAAAACCTTTCTAAAAAATAAAATTTGGTCATGATCCTCTCCTACTTAAGGATCTTAGCTAAATACACAAGGCTAAATCTCTTAACACAGCATACAAAGTCTTTCACAATCAAGTTCCAATCCTCCAGCCTCATTTCCTATCCCATTCCCCATGATGCTATGATCTATTGCCAGTGGCTTTCCTGACTTTTCTTTATTCATGCTATTCCCTCCTCTCTTGAATACATGCCCTTCCTTAATCTGTGTCTACATTGTAAGCATGTATTAAATCTTTTAAGACACAGCTCAAATGTTACTTCCTCTGTAGTTTTTCCTAATTTCCCCAGATCTTTAGTTTCTTCTATCAAGACATATCACTTTAATGGCACCTGGGAGATACTGTTGTGATTGGCTGACTGTAAGTCTTAGCCACCAAACTATAAACTCTTCCAGCGCAGAGACTGTATCTTTTTCACCTAGCACATGGGTTGAATCAATTCAGTACTACATTTTTTTCTGAAGTTAGTTTTTCATTTACAACTTCTTTGGCATCAAAATCCAGAATTATAATACAAAACACAAAGTAACCAGGAAACTCCTAGAAGATTACTGATGGCAAAGCATTAACAGAAGGGAGCACAAACAAAAGTTAACAGACCTATGCAACTGGTAACAGTGATTAACATCTGTGGTTTCTATTTCTTTCACGGTTTACTGGCATGTTATTTATGTCACACTTTGTGGTATGTTCACTAATTTCCTTATGAACACAAACATTTCCCCAATACCTTAAGATACTTAAATACGCTTGTGTGGATAACTGAAATCCACTAAACCATTCACAATGTTGGTCACTGAATTATGGATCCAGTAACAATTCCAGTAACAATTAAAACTTTAGCTAATGGAATACAAGAGCACCTTTACATTTCCTCTGTGGTGCAGGGTAGGATCAGTGGGCTCTTTCATTCATTTACTTTCAGTTACTGACATGAGAAAGGGTCTCACAGCATTTTAGGCATACTTCTCACAGACAAATGTTGATGTAATTGAGCAATCAACTTTCAAGAATTGTATCTTCTTGAAAAATATATTACCTTACCTTTTTGTGTTTTCAAAAAAAACATGGCAAATAGTATTATTACAACTTCATACCATATTGATGTATTCTGCTCTCAAATGATAATTTTGCGAAATATTACTATTTTGTTAAAGGTCCTGAGTGCAGCAAGACTCTCCTTTCTCGCAGGTTTTTATCTAATGTCTTTGTTACCACCATTCCCTGCTGTCCAGCCAAGGCAAAACAAAATAAGGAAAGCCATAATATTTTTAATCTAAGAATCAGAAAAAACTGTTTCAAGGTTCTATTCTCATTTCTCTCTCTCAATGGATATGGCTTAACTGCTATCTCAAACTCTCTTTTAATTTGCATCAAAAACTTTGCTGCATCGAAACAGAAAATTTTTATAATCTTGAACGGTTTCAAATAATGTTCAAAGAGTGAAAGTATCTGACCATTTTACACAATAATTTAAAAAATTCTACATAATTTAGATAAACTAACCAAGCAGCTTCTTAGTGTTGGCCTGAGAAGGCTGCCCCATATCCAAGCTCATGGATTTCCTGGCTCGGGGACTGGTCTGACCCACAGTTGGATAGGTGGCTGCAAGGTACCCTTCAGAACCTTTGGGAGAAGACCATGGCTGATTCTCCTTTAGTGTCCTGGGAGATTAAAGCAATTGAGAAGAATTAATTAACATGATGACAAATACAACCACTCTATGTCCCTTCTAAGTGACTGTCCTATTTCCCAATGACAGCAATCAATTAATTTAAAACTGCACTTTAAAGGCTTTAAGGAACAAAGTCAATGTATCTCCAGAAGTATCAACTTTCTTGCCATACTATCTTATACATAAAAATTAATTTAAAAAATTGACAAATAAAAATTATATATATTTATGGTGTTCAACATATTTTAAAATATGTATACATTCTGGAATTGCTAAATCAAGCTAATTAACATATGCACTACCTCACATACTTAACATTTGTGGTGAGAACACTTAAAAGCTACTCTCTCAGCAATTTTCAAGTATATAATACATTGTCATCAACTATAGTCATCATGTTGTTTTATAGATCTCGAACTTACTGCACTGGTTTTTTTTTTTTTTTTTTTAGAGAGTTTTGCTCACATAGAGTATAGAGGCATCAGCCTAGCTCACAGCAACCTCAAACTCCTGGGCTCAAACAATCCTCCCACCTCAGCTTCCGGAGTAGCTGGGACTACAGGTGTGCATCCACACGCCTGGCTAATTTTTTCTATTTTTGGGAGAGATGGGATCTCACTCTTGCTCAGGCTGGTGCACTGATTTTTTAATCAGGGAAAATCAAGTCTAAATAGGCAACTGAATTTTTGGTTTAAAAATCAAGAAAATCAAACCTAAATTTATACTTTGACAAGGGAGCACAGGCGAACTCATTTTCTTCTTTTCATAACTCAAAGAAATATAATCATGCGAATGACTGAAGAATAAGACTACTGAATACCAAGTATGTCTGGAAAACTTTTGCATATGTTGTTAAAATCTCAGTAGGAAACTATTCAGGGCTTTTTAATGTTGATTAATTGAATAACGTAAGTTCTACAAATAGAAAATTATTTTTGTGTTTAACACTGTCCGTAAACCTTAAAGATACTTTCATTTAATTGAAAATATAGAAAAATCCCCAAATGATGCCATTTTCATATAATTTCTCAAAGTTATTCTGGAAAATACACTGCCCCAAACCATGTACAGGGGACATAAATTTGATTATTTTATCATCTAAATCTGTACTATAGAAAACTTTGTAATAACTTTAGTGTGACATGAGTAAATACAGCAAATGTGTTGGCATAGACATGTTCTTATAAATCTATATAGCTTAGTTTTCCATCACTAAGCACGTAATGTTGCTTATATTTCATGTTAGTTTTTTTCCCAGGCCTTTTACTGCAACCCAGTACTTTCAAGATCATCTCTTCTCATTATTCAACTGGTTCGTGCTTAAAAGAGGCAAACTAGTGTTAACATTAGCACAGTTAGACTAGAAGTAAAATGATAACTTTCCTACCACTAACCCACATAAAATACATTTATAAAATGAGTTTTGATTTATACATTCTTCCTAGCCATCTCTAGGATCCCCCCTCCCCCACCACATTACCTTCTAGATTACTTGGCTGCTGGCCTCTATTAGCATGGAAAATTGAAAGCTCATTACAATTATGTAATTACAGGAGAGCAAATCCACTTACCTATAGGTGGAGTCGCCATGATGGATGGGATATGTATCCATAGGAACATTTTCCATTGAAATATCAGTAAGAAGTAGTGACTTTCTATGTTTTAGGCTGCAGCGACTTCGAACCTCTTCAGACACTGTGAGTAAAGCTAAAAGGAAAAAGGAGGCAGATTAAAATATATAACAAATCACAAGTGTGACTTAAAACACGATACACTTATCACAACCTCCTAAAGAGGATAATACCTGTTAAAAGTGCACGTAAAGCTCTCCACAGAGTGTGAGGTTTAAGGATATCAAACACTTAGGACAGACTTGTTTATCCCAAAGGGTTGATAGTCTGTTTTGGAAGACTGTATATAAACATGAAATATACAAAGAAATTTAATAAGCACTTTCTATTTTTCAAGTGCTTTAATGTATGTTTGGTTTCAACGAACATAAAAAGTAGGCAAGGCAGGTATTATTAAGTTTATTAATAATACTTTGAGATATCAAATGATTTGCTCAAGGTTATATGGTTCAAACAAAAAAGTTAACACAAACTGAGTCTGCTAAACTGAGAATCAGCACTTTCCGTCAAACAACTACATCTGTAGCTGTAACATATGTAAGTGCTAAGTGTTGCTGAGTAGAGAAACAAAAATCAGGTAAGAGCAAATAGGGTAGGTTTAATGGAATGGTGTGGATGGGGCAGACATTCAGGTAAAATGGCATAGGGAGTGACTACTGAAGAGGCAGAAAGTCACTTGCAGGAGATGGCAAGTAGATTAGCTTGAAATAGCCCACCCATTTGGAGAAGTAATAAAAAATGAGGCTTATGAAATTTAGAGAAAGAGGATAGAATCCTGAGGACTGCTTCAGGATTCAGGATGCTAGGCTGAGGCATTCAGATTTTATGACACATAACTGGGAGCCACTGTAGTGTCTTGAATCAAAGATGACAAAGGGAACACATTTCAGATTTTAATGCAAATTCTTTCATTAGGAAAAATGTTTGGGCAAAACTTTCAAAATTTTAAACACCACTAAAGGACTGGACTATGAAGTTTTTACTATGCCAAGCAACCAGCTGAAGTACCTACACATATCTGAACCTTTTTGGTGATCCTTAGATATAGATGTGGTAAGATTAGTTTTGTCTCTTGTGTTTTTACCTGCTAAGTAAGCCACGCTCTGTGTATTCACTTCAAATTTGTCACAATTTCTATGTTTGTTAACCAGAGTTAGTAGTGTATGCAAAATTCTGACTGTTCTTGCAACAATGGCAGGTGAAGGATGCCTGTACCCTACAAAAACAAAAAATAAAAACAAATAAGAAGTTAGTTCATTCTTTGAACAAGTATCTGTTGAGTTCTTATTCTGTGAGTAGCAACTCTGCAAGGAAAGGAAGTATAAGGGATAACTCCTGCCTTCTAAGAAAAGCCATTTGGGAAGGTAAAACATACATATGTGAACGGTTAATTAATTATATAAAGGATTAAGTACCAAAAATGTATAGAACCCTTCCCTGGAACCATACGGTACCTCAGGGAAGAGGAAAATTAGGAAAGATGATAATCTTTCAGATCTTCCATTCCCTAAAGGAGCACAGGGATTTAAAAAATCTATGTATTAGAGTTCCCCTTAAGATTTTTTTTTTGAAAATAGGGTCCTACTGATTAAAGATTCTTTTTTTTTTTTTTAATTAAAAGAAAGAACCCTAATGACATAGGAAGTATATACTCTAAGAGCCAAAAAACCCTCCAGAGTTGATTAGAGGGTTTTTGATCTTTGGCCAGCTTTTAATCATTAATACTACTCCATTTTAAAATAGAGGATTTGAACACTGAAAATATCTGGTATTCTTTTAGAAATACAAAATATGTAAGCACTTCATCAGTTTAGTTACAATCCCTCATCTTGGTATCCTTTAGTAATATCTTTTGAGCAATCCCTATTCACCTTATAGATTAAAATTGTCAGGATTTTTGTATAAATTTCATAAGGAGGTGAAATCAAATGCATATATTCACAGTGGTGGGTGTATGCACATATACCAGGTAAAACATGGGGAAACCTCCATGATCCCTCAAGCCTAAGAATTATTTAAACTGATACAAAACTGTAGACTCAGGCTCCAACTTGAATCTCTACTGTGGCCAAATCCAGTGTTGCCCAAGACCACTGGTTCATGCCAGCTCATTATCCCAGGCCTTACTTTACACTTCTATTTTGTCTCTGACCTACCACTATATGCTGTTCCTGTTAACTGCACTCTCTGGCCATGAGTGCCTCATGTTAATGAACCAAAGTTAACAAGCTGTGAAGTCAGCAATGGGGAGTAAAGCCAAGTCAGGAAGTGAATGAGCTCGTTCTAAGGAAGAGCTGGACATCACTGGCTATAAACAACATAGAAATTTGGAGGGGTGGGAGTGAGGTACCAGAAAGATGAAGTTCTATGGTATAAAATAATAGTATTCGTTAACAATAAACTAGAAATAAGTTGAAGAAAACCTGTGATTAAATCTCGAACACTTTTCAACATAATCAAATTATACTTACTGATTTGCAGTATGTCTTATTTTGATAGTAAGATACTTAAAGTACTGTTACTAATAATATAGCTATTAGAAAGCTCAATATTTATGCATTTTAAAAGAATCAACTCACTTTTTTAGAAAAACTTGATATTTGATATGGAAATTAAGCTCTCTTAAAATACATATTGAACAAAACATAACTCATTAAGACATATAGTTTGCATTTAAAATAAGACATATGGGCTAAATTATTTCAATTTACTTCAAGTAATCACTTATTTTAATTACTTCTGGTTTCTTAATACTATTTCATAAAAATATTCCAACATAAGGCTTTTACCTTTTAAGAGATGTCCAACCAGTGCGAAGTTAAAGTTAGAGTTGAAATTGAGTCCAACAAAATGATCCATCTGCTTGCAGTGCCATTCCAGAGGATTCCGGATTGCCATAAATACTTCCTCTGGACTCTATTAATAAAGACAATTATGAGATGGTTGATGAGGTTCATACAGGAGAGCTTTCTTCTAAGGATCACTTACTGGTTTTGTGTTCAACAGCTATGACAAGGTAAGTAACCCTTTCAAGCTGAGAAATTATTTTCAGATGACTACAGAAAACCATAGAATATTTTAGGTACTACAAATTAATTGGTAGAAGACAGTCAAGTACATATATAATAAGATAGAGGGTAAAACTACTTTGATTTATAATGCAGAATAAATGACTGTCAATTTACATCCTGGTGACTTTTTTTTTTTTGAGACAGAGTCTCACTCTGTTGCCCTAGCTAGAGTGAGTGCCGTGGCGTTAGCCTAGCTCACAGCAACCTCAAACTCCTGGGCTCAAGCGATCCTTCTGCCTCAGCCT